TATAAAGTGTGTATACTTTTAAGACAGTGAAGTATGTATGTTTATGAGGATATTGTCCAAATATAATAGCAATAGACAATGACAATGGAGTGTATATGTTTATGATCAAATGGTACCAAACCACCCTTATGTGCCAAAAAGAGACCATTGAAGTGCGGTAAAGTGTTTAGGGCCATAATCACCATACCAAGCTTACATAATATGTTACCAAAAAAATCCCATACATTTTGACCATATTGACCCATCTCATTTACAAAAAGGGTAGTAATGTTTGGGTATACCATTTACAAGAGATAATTAAAGTATAAGGGATAACTTAATACAAAAAGGGATAACATAAACACTGCCCCATCAACCCCTAACTTACTCTAAAGAACCATGCTCCAAACTAGTAGAACCTGATCCCACAACCTTTTTTCCAAGCTGAAGTATATTTATCCTCTCTGTGGCCTCTTTGTTCTCAGCAACCTTTGTCAATATTATAAGACATACATCTTCACTCCATGTTAAGTGCTTTGTAGACATCCTATAAAACCTCTTCATAACATACATTTTGATATCCTCCAACATAGCAAGAAAGTGGTTTAGTCCTTTACTTTAGAATAACTGAATCAAATATCTCTAATATACCATTTTCTACAACTTCACATGCTCTACATTCACTAAAAAAAGCGCCCTACTCCAAGTTTTTGAGTTCCTTGCCATCAGGTATTCATAAGCATTCCCATTTATTGCTTTGAGTTCCTCTATTTTCCAAACAAAAGAGGAATCTGTGGTTGACATTGAAGCTGCCCAAAAATATCTCTTATAATATATCACATTTTACACCTTTTTGAAGTTGACATACACATGCATGTCTGGCACACTACCTATGCTCAACTAATGGTAACATCTCTTTGACAACCTCTACTAAACTTTCCATGATACAAAAAAGTTACATGATACAAAACATGTTACATGATACGAAAAGAGTAAACATACAAAAAAGAATGATCGGATATGCCTTATGCTGATAATAAATTATTGTTAGCCCTTCACCACACCTAGTTTGACTTGTTTTCAACATCAACCATAACCCATGCTATAGGGTAAACCTGGTTGTTCTTATCCATATCTATTACAGTGAGTAGCTCCCCTTTACATCAACCTTTTAAAAAAACAACCTTCTAGGCCAATGACTATTCTGCAAACCCTAATCTACCGATCCCTTAAAGCCTTGAAATACACATAAAATCTTTTAAACACACTGCTACCATCTTCTTTGAGATCAACTCCAACCTATCATGTAATACCAGGGTTTGATTTGATGAAATCTCCTCTATATTCTTATATACGAGCATAATGCTCTGACTTTCTAGTTAAAACGTCTTGTGCTTTCTTTTTGCACTATTACCCCGTCCCCTTGACACTATGCATAAAAACTTTTTCTTTATTTCTTCTTTCTCCTCCCTGACTTTCATTCTTGGTATAACACTCAATTGTTTCAGGAATTCTTTGACAATCCAGTCACGATTAACCAATGTGGCATCCTTGTACTCCCTAACGCAACTATGCTTACTAGTAAGACCCTTAATTTGAAAAATTCTCATTGTTCATCCAGGATGCCCACAACTTGAAGGTACACCTCTTACATTTATTTTCAAACCATATTTTGCTTGAAGCCTTGTACTAAAAGATTTTGTCGCCTTAATTGGATAACCATTGTGAACAACATAGTTAATCTGAACCTTAATCCATCTTTATTAGCATACCTTTCAACAAAATGTGGTTTCATTTTCTTCCAATGAGCAGAAGGGTCATGAACACTAAATTGGGTTAGATCTTGAACAACCTCATTCTCATCCTCTTCATTTTCATTATCAATATGACATTATTCTCTAATAGCTTCATCAACAACATTTTCCTTCTCATTATAAACAGGGACATGACATAAATTATAAAGGAAAACATCAAAAGGTATCTTCAAATGTTGAGAACTCGATTGTTCATCTGCATCACAATCATCCAACTCTTGATCAACAACAAATGCCCTTTCAGAGTCGCTTTACGATAATGAATATGAGTGTTCATCGCATTCACTTTCTTCAAAACTTGAGTCATAATAGGGTCCCCTTTTGATATGATCGGACGATTTTTGTTGCTTCATGATATGGTTTCAACTTTCTTCCTACAATCGATGACATGCGATGAACACACATGCTGCTAACGATAGAAAATCTTTGAAGTTACAGAGTGTGAAAACCCTAGTTAATGAGGGATGGTGTGTGCTTTGTCAAGAAGAGGGTAAATAATGGGGAATAGGTAAATGAGGGAAGAGGATGATTAGGCAAAGGGTGTAATGAAACCCGTTGCTATGGACAACGTCACAGAGGAAGGAATAACAAAGAAGTAATGGAGTGGTAACCGGCAAACCAGTAATACACATTCAAAGCAAAATAAAAACACAATGTTAAATTTGAAAAAAAAACACAATATCAAACTACAATTTTGGTATAAAATTAATAATTTTATGCTATTTACATTATTATTTCTCATGTTTTGTGATGGTCTAGGATAAAGTAAAACAGTAAAATAAGCAAAATGGGCCTTTTGTAATTCTTCAACAGTCACTAATATAAATCCATTGTGAACTTCGATCCAGTAACCTCTATTTTGGTAATCGCCTTCGCCCCCTGGGTTTTCCCCAATCTCCCACTACTGAAAAACAAAATTTCATCCCCGTAACCTCCAAATCCAATCCCATCTCCCATCAGGGTTTTGGTAGTGCTACTGATTTCGACTCGTTGATTCGTTTCGGAGATAAAAAAAGAAGAAGAACAAGAAAAATCGAAGATGGAGAGTGGCGGCGTTCTATCTGCGACCGACCAGCAAAATATGGTCTCTATGTTTCTTGAAATTGCTGTCGGACAGACTGCCGACACCGCCAGACAGTTTTTACAGGTTCCAATTGCTATCCCTGTTCAGTTGGTTGATATTAATCGATCGATTGATTATGATACACACATATGTTTATATTTTGTTTACTCGGCTTATTTATGATCAGCCTGTTGGAATTGTTATTAACATTATATTTATCGGTTCTGATTCCATGAATTCAGGCCACAAGCTGGAAACTTGAAGAAGCTATTCAACTTTTTTACATAGGAAATGAAGGCGGAGCAGCTGCATCATCGTCTCCATATGTTCCACCTGTAGAAAACGATGGGCTTTTGTCCGACCAAAACATTGGGTAGGTGGATGATGCAAAATTTAAACTAAGATCTGATATAATCATTACCTTACATTTACCAAATCTTTTACCGAATGTTGTCTCAGAGGCTCAGAGAACAACAATGGTTCCAAAAGCACCAGAGAAGATGATAACAATGAAGTTCGTGCACCTCTACCAGTGAAAAGGGATGTTCTTTATGACACTCCAATGCGCTTTGGGTATTCTACTTTACTCATTTGTGTGGATTATGTCTTTCATCATCATTAGAAGCTTTTTATAAACCATGTGCATCGTGTCCTTTTCTTGTGTTTAGAGCAACAAGATTGGGGTATACTCCACTTGAAGCACGTACAGTTGTACCCTTTAGAAACTTTGAAGAGGAACTAAAACATCCTGGAGTATGGGAAACAGACCAAGGTGGTGGTGCCACATCAACAGCTGATACTTCTAGAGATAATCTTGCCACCTTATATCGCCCTCCCTTTGCTTTGATGTTCCATGGCCCATTTGAGAAGGTAAAATTGTGAATTTATAACATATATATCTTAATAAATAAGTTACAATTTACTTGTTATAATGTCAGGCTAAAGAATCTGCTAAAAATCAAGATCGTTGGCTTCTAGTGAACTTGCAATCAACCAGGGAATTTAGCTCACATATGGTGTGTTTTGTTTTATTCTAACTTGCTTTTTTAATGTAAAAATAGTTATTTTTTATGAATGCTATGATTATGTTGTTTATTGATGACACCTTTTGTGCAGCTTAATCGAGATACATGGGCTAATGAAGCTGTTTCTCAAACAATCATGTCTAATTTCATCTTCTGGCAGGTTTATTTTTGTTATAATATTACAATTAACAATCCAAAAAGCTCACATTTAAAAGTATGTGTGTAGCAAAATAAAGAAGGTCACATATTTTTTTTGTTGTGTGTGTGTGTGTGTAGGTATGTGATGATACAGAAGATGGAAGCAAGATAAAAACATACTACAAATTGGATTCGGTTCCTGTAACTCTTGTTATTGATCCTGTTACTGGTCAAAAGATGCGTTTATGGCGTGGAATGGTTCAACCAGAAAATTTGTTGGAGGTATGAAATAGAGTTCTTGAAATGCATAGTAGTCAATATTTCAAAAGATTTAACATTTGAATGGAAAATTTGATCAATTGGAAAGGATTTGTTGCAATTCATGGATGGAAGCCCTAAGGATCATCATTTTAGCTTGTCCCACAAACGTCCAAGAGAAAATTCTCAAGCTCCACCTCCTAAAATCCAAGCAATGCCAGGTTTGCTACTTTGTTTTATTGTGATCTAATTAAGTTTTTTCTTATTATGGTTTGTTATATACCTATTGAGTTTGTTATCTTTGAATATGGTAATATTAATATACTTGTTTGTTTTGTTGCAAATATGAGAACAACCAAATAGCAAAACGCACTTCAGTTCAACCCAAAATATGGTTTTACTAACAATGGAAAAACTAGGTCCATTAATGCTATGTCCCAAATAATCATAACCTTTCAATTAGGTATACAAAAGATTGATTATCACATTGTCTTGAATCTACACAACTATCATAGTAGAATCATGTGATGTCATGAATGAGTCAAATCTCATAGATTTAAGTACTATTGTTTTTGTTGAGATTTGATCTCATCATGTATAGCTATAAGCCTATAATCCACTTATCAAACATCCTTATAATAATTTATCTTTATCATAAATTGAGAGCTTCTCAACTATATCAATATTTATGGCATATGCAACCATATAAGCTTCAACAACATATATGATGCCTCTTTTGATTTCTTGCAATGTAAGGTTGAGGCTATGTGATTATCTAGAAAAAAAAATTAGGGTATGCGGTCAACTTAATAGGAATATTTGAAATTTAGGAAATAATTTAATGGGGCAATATAATTTAAATATTTGAGACTAAACAATCAATTAAAGTAATTTCTTTTATTAAAACCAACGAACAAAACAAAATTTGTCGTTATTCTCTGAGATTTAATCTTTTAAAAAGGATTATTTAACGGTAATGATGTTTAGTGGTTAGGGTTTTTAGTTTTTGATTTTGGGATTTTGTAAAGGTTTTGATAAAGGCATACTACGAAAATCACAAATATCCAACAAGAATCTACCAGTTTAAGTAAAGAGATTAAAATTAGACACTAAAACCAATATTAACATGTGTGACTGTTTTACTAACTAAATTATGAGGCTACAGTGGTTGCAAATGGAACAAGTGAAGAAGATGATGAAGAGATGAGAGTGGCACGAGCACTATCTATGGAAACAACAAAAAATAGC